AGGACTGGTGAAAGACTTTGACTCCATGGCGATTCGACTAGATACATCGGATCTGAGCGCTATTCGGTGAAAACATGCACTCAGATCCAGGCTGTCTGGGGATACGTTACACGAACTATATTCATTCGGTATTTCTTCAGTTATGTATTTTAATGTATTTTTACTACAGTAATTTAAAATGGCGATTGTCTCTACCCTGGGAGATAATTAGGTTTCTTCCTAATTATCTCCGGGGTAGAGAAGACGGATTTATGGGTAAGATGGGAAGGGTTTATATTGAAGCCACTGCGATTGGCTACTGTACAATATGTTTTACAGTCTTCCACAAGGTCCCCTCGGGGAGTGTCCACCTTGTGGAGACCTGCATAAATACCGGGCAGGTAGCCCCCATTAAACAGATCCTGATTTGACCCTCAAGACGGAGCTTGGTCTCGTTTGTGGGGGGAATTATTACTGGGACAGCGCTTCGTTATTTTTAGCTGTGGAAGGCGTTCGACTGTTTTGCTGATCGGGAGTTGCCGTGTTCGTGGACTTCGTTCGGGAGTTTGGCGGTCGGCTGGATATAAACTGCATTTCTGGAGAAGGGGATTATTTACTAAACGACGGCTTCATCTACCTGGCGGTGAGTGTCTTAACAATATCTAAGTCTCCTAAATTGCCTCCTAACCGTTTGCTTCTCCCTGTTTCCCTTCATATGGGAGAGAGTTGTATAGCTGAAAGCATACTAGCCTTGGTTGATTCCGGGGCTGCTGAGAACTTCATTGACTCTGACTTTGTTACGAAAAATCACATTCCCGTCACAGAGAGGGAGATACCCTTGGCCATTGAGGCCATAGATGGTAGAACTTTAAATACTCCAGTCGTTACCCATGAAACTGTACCATTATTCATGTACACACAGGGCCGTCTTTAACAAGGGGCAAACGGGGCAGCTGCCCCGGGCCCAATAACTCTTGGGGGGCCCAAAGCAGCTACCCTGTGGGCCCCCTGCCCGCAACCAGGACTGAACAGCCCACCAGTATACTGAGAAATCTTCCGGTGGGCTGCGGCAAGTGAAGTAATCAGGGCCCCCCGGCCCTTTAAGAGAGCACCTGACCAGGCCCCTGTCTGTATGCCTGCTGGGAGGAAGTGAGGTGAGATCACTTCCTCCCAAGTAACAGAGTGCCGCTGGGGAGGAGGAGACACACATGGAAGTGGAGGAGAGGGAGGATGCACACACAGGAGGAGGAGGGGGAGGAGAGGGACTGAGGTAAACATGTTCATCAGACTCCCATCAACCTCAGCCATCCAGCTTCCACTGGACCCCAGGGAAGCCACCCTTCTCTAAAGGTAAGGAGACAAGAGGGTGGCTAGACTTAAATTGATATAAATGTGTGTATATCTGACTATGTGTGTATATCTGACTGTATGTGTGTATCTGACTATGTGTGTATATCTGACTATGTGTGTATATCTGACTGTGTGTGTGTATATCTGACTGTATGTGTGTGTATCTGACTGTATGTGTATGTATCTGACTGTATGTGTGTGTATATCTGACTGTATGTGTGTGTATCTGACTGTATGTGTGTGTATCTGACTGTATGTGTGTATCTGACTATGTGTGTATATCTGACTATGTGTGTGTATCTGACTGTGTGTGTGTATATCTGACTGTGTGTGTGTATCTGACTGTATGTGTGTGTATCTGACTGTGTGTGTGTATGTCTGACTGTGTGTGTGTATCTGACTGTGTGTGTGTATATCTGACTGTGTGTGTGTGTATCTGACTGTATGTGTGTATCTGACTGTGTGTGTATATCTGACTATGTGTGTGTATCTGACTGTGTGTGTGTATATCTGACTGTGTGTGTGTATCTGACTGTATGTGTGTGTATCTGACTGTGTGTGTGTATGTCTGACTGTGTGTGTGTATCTGACTGTGTGTGTGTATGTCTGACTGTGTGTGTGTATCTGACTGTGTGTGTGTATCTGACTGTATGTGTGTATATCTGACTGTATGTGTGTGTATCTGACTGTATGTGTGTATCTGACTGTATGTGTGTATCTGACTATGTGTGTATATCTGACTGTATGTGTGTATCTGACTATGTATGTGTATATCTGACTGTATGTGTGTATATCTGACTGTATGTGTGTATCTGACTATGTATGTGTGTATCTGACTATGTGTGTGTGTATCTGACTATGTGTGTATATCTGACTGTATGTGTGTATCTGACTGTATGTGTATCTGACTATATTGTGTATATCCCCGACTGTGTGTGTGTCTGACTGTGTGTGTGTATCTGACTATGTGTATATCTGACTGTGTGTGTATCTGACTGTATGTGTGTGTATCTGACTGTGTGTGTATATCTGACTGTGTGTGTGTGTATCTGACTGTGTGTGTATATATCTGACTATGTGTGTGTATCTGACTGTGTGTGTGTATATCTGACTGTGTGTGTGTATCTGACTGTGTATGTGTGTGTATCTGACTGTGTGTGTGTATGTCTGACTGTGTGTGTATCTGACTGTGTGTGTATGTCTGACTGTGTGTGTGTATCTGACTGTGTGTGTGTATCTGACTGTATGTGTATATCTGACTGTATGTGTGTGTATCTGATCTGTCTGTGTGTGTGTATGTCTGACTGTGTGTGTGTATCTGACTGTGTGTGTGTATATCTGACTGTATGTGTGTGTATCTGACTGTATGTGTGTATCTGACTATGTGTGTATATCTGACTGTGTGTGTGTGTATCTGACTGTGTGTGTGTGTATCTGACTATGTGTGTATATCTGACTGTGTGTGTATCTGACTGTATGTGTGTGTATCTGACTGTGTGTGTGTATATCTGACTGTGTGTGTATATATCTGACTATGTGTGTGTATCTGACTGTATGTGTGTGTATCTGACTGTGTGTGTATCTGACTGTGTGTGTGTATCTGACTGTATGTGTGTGTATCTGACTATGTGTGTGTATCTGACTATGCGTGTGTATCTGACTGTATGTGTGTATCTGACTGTATGTGTGTGTGTGTGTATCTGACTATGTGTGTGTATCTGACTATGCGTGTGTATCTGACTTTATGCCTGTGCATCTGACTATGTGTGTGTATCTGTATGTGTGTGCATTTGTATCTGGCTGTATGTGTGTATCTGGCTGTGTGAGTGTCTGTGTGTATCTGGCTGTGTTTGTGTCAGTGTGTGTGTATCTGACTATGTGTGTGTATCTGACTTTATGCGTGTGCATCTGACCATGTGTGTGTATCTGTATGTGTGTGCGTTTGTATCTGGCTGTATGTGTGTATCTGGCTATGTGAGTGTCAGTGTGTGTGTATCTGGCTGTGTTTGTGTCAGTGTGTGTGTATCTGGCTGTGTTTGTGTCAGTGTATGTGTACCTTTGTGTCAGTGTTTATGTGTATCTATGTGGATGTATACCTGTGTCCGTGTACTTGTGTGTCAGTTTGTATGTGTACCTGCGTGTCTGTGTATGTGTATCTGTGTATGTATATGAGTGTCAGTTTGTGTAAGTGTGTATCTATGCGTGTGGCAATGCATACGTTCCATCATTCCAGTACCAACACTGCACACATATACACTACTACATTCCAACGCTAACACTGCACACAAATACACCACTGCATGTGTATCTGTGTTCCTGTGTGTATCTCAGTGTTTGTGTAAGTGTGCATCTGTGTGGCAATGCATACATCCCAGCATTCCTTCACCAACACTGCACACAAATACACCCCTGCATGTGTACCCGTGTGTCTGTGTGCATCTTAATGTGTGTATATATCTGTGTCAGTGTGTGTAAGTGTGTATCTCTGTGTGTGGATGTGCCAGTGTTTTTATCTCTGTATCTGTGTGTGTGTGTATGTATGTATGTGTCTGTGTGTGTATACGCCAGTCTGTGCATGTGTCCAGATGTGTGCATGTATCAGTGTGCTAATGTGTATGGATATCTGTGAATGTATGTCATACATCCAAGCAATCAAACACAACATGCAAACACACCCCTGCAAACACAAACATTACATACAAACACGCCCCTGAATTCAAACTCAAAAAGTATATAGAAACACACCCCTTCACTCTAACACCAATACTACACCGTACATGCACACACATACTCTATACAACTACATGCTCACATTCAAATTTACAAACACTGCTCACAAATACAGCCCTGCAAGAATGACCAAATGGTAGATCCCCAACTGGCATAGCATCGTGGGAATTGTACAACAGATGAGGATCTATCTTTTCTCCATTATTGTGCTAGATGGGAGGCCCAAAAAATGTCTTGCACCTGGGCCTTCTCTCTGTGGCGTCGCTAGGGGGGGGCCAGAGGGGGCCATGGCCCCCCCTACATCATGCTGTGCCCCCCCTTGGGCCCCCCCAAATGCCGGCAACTTGCTGGCCATGGGCTTCCCTCGGGCTGTAACAGCCTGTCACAGCCCGAGGGAATGCAGGAGAGAGGTGCTGGGGGCTGTCTGTGGCCGGAGGGAGCACCGATTGGCTCCCCGGCACAGGCCCGCCCCCAAACGAAGCCACAGGCCCGCCCCCAAACGAAGCCCCGCCTCCCGCCGATAAGCCCGCCCTCGCCGTAATGCAGCAGCCCAACATCCTCCAGTGACAGGTAGGCTGGGGGGGGGGGTGTTCACACACTCTACACACACACACACATACTGCCCCCCATAGACACACATTGCCCCCCATACACACTGCCCCTGCCATTTTACACTGCCCCCTTTCCCCGCACACGTACTTCCCATACACACACACTGCCCCATACACACACATTGCCCCCCATACACACGCATTGCCCCCCATAGACACACATTGCCCCCATAGACACACATTGCCCCCCATACACACACTCTGCCCCCCCATACACATACACTCTACACACATACACTATCACCATACACACACACACACACACACACTGTATGGACTCAGCAGTCTGTGTGTGTGTGTGTGTGTGTGTGGACTCAGCAGTTTGTGTGTGTGGACTCAGCAGTTTGTGTGTGTATGGACTCAGCAGTCTGTGTGTGTATGGACTCAGCAGAGTCTGTGTGTGTGTACGTGTACGGACTCAGCAGTCTGTGTGTGTGTGTGTGTCTGTATGGACTCAGCAATCTGTGTGTGTGTATGGACTCAGCAGTCTGTGTGTTTGTGTATGGACTCAGCAGTCTGTGTGTTTGTGTATGGACTCAGCAGAGTGTGTGTGTGTGTGTGTGGACTCAGCAGTCTTTGTGTGTGTATGGACTCAGCAGAGTCTGTGTGTGTATGGACTCAGCAGAGTCTGTGTGTGTATGGACTCAGCAGAGTCTCTGTGTGTGTGTGATAATGCATTAATGCCGGACTCAGCAGTCTGTGTGTGTGTGTGTCTGTATGGACTCAACCCAATCTGTGTGTGTGTATAGACTCAGCAGTCTGTGTGTTTGTGTATGGACTCAGAGTGTGTGTGTGTGTGTGTGTGTGTGTGGACTCAGCAGTCTTTGTGTGTGTGTATGGACTCAACAGTCTGTGTGTGTGGACTCAGCTTGGTCTGTGTGTGTGTGTGTGTGTGTGTGTGGTTCAGCAGTTTGTGTGTGTGGACTCAGCAGTTTGTGTGTGTATGGACTCAGCAGTCTGTGTGTGTATGGACTCAGCAGAGTCTGTGTGTGTGTACGTGTACGGACTCAGCAGTCTGTGTGTGTGTGTGTGTGTCTGTATGGACTCAGCAATCTGTGTGTTTGTGTATGGACTCAGCAGAGTGTGTGTGTGTGGACTCAGCAGTCTTTGTGTGTGTATGGACTCAGCAGTCTGTGTGTGTATGGACTCAGCAGAGTCTGTGTGTGTGTGTATGGACTCAGCAGAGTCTGTGTGTGTTTGTGTGTATGGACTCAGCAGAGTGTGTGTGTTTGTGTGTGTGTATGGACTCAGCAGTCTGTGTGTGTGTATGGACTCAGCAGTATGTGTGTGTTTGTGTGTATGGACTCAGCAGAGTGTGTGTGTTTGTGTGTATGGACTCAGCAGAGTCTGTGTGTGTGTATGGACTCAGCAGTCTGTGTGTGTACGGACTCAGCAGAGTCTGTGTGTGTGTATGGACTCAGCAGTCTGTGTGTGTACGGACTCAGCAGAGTCTGTGTGTGTGTATGGACTCAGCAGTCTGTGTGTGTGTGTATGGACTCAGCAGTCTGTGTGTGTGTACGGACTCAGCAGAGTCTGTGTGTGTGTACGGACTCAGCAGAGTCTGTGTGTGTGTACGGACTCAGCAGTCTGTGTGTGTTTGTGTATGGACTCAGCAGTCTTTGTGTGTTTGTGTATGGAATCAGCAGAGTGTGTGTTTGTGTATGGACCCAGCAGTCTGTGTGTGTGTGTATGGACTCAGCAGAGTCTGTGTGTGTGTGTGTGTATGGACTCAGCAGAGTCTGTGTGTATGGACTCAGCAGTCTGTGTGTGTGTGTATGGACTCAGCAATCTGTGTGTGTGTGTATGGACTCAGCAGTCTGTGTGTGTGTATGGACTCAGCAGTCTGTGTGTGTGTATGGACTCAGCAGTCTGTGTGTGTGTATGGACTCAGCAGTCTATCAATAATTAAAATTCCTGTGAGTTGTTGTGTAGGAAGGGCCCCAGTGCATTGCTTTGCCCAGGGGCCCTTAACTCTGTTAAAATGGTACTGCTTGTGTGTGTCAGTGAGCTTCTATTTAGTGAGCATGTGTGTGTCAGTGAGCTTGTCTTTAGTGAGCTTGTGTGTGTGTCCCTGAACTTCTTTGTAGTGAGCCTTCTGTTTATACAAATGAGATTGTCTGTAGTAAGCTTGTGTGCTCACTGTACTATATATATATATATATATATATATATATATATATATATATATATATATATATATATATATTGACTTGTAGGAATGGCATACGTTTTTTTTTCCAGGGCTGCTTTGGATTCCCAGGGATTCCCAGTTTGGTTCTGCCAGCGAGTGCACTTTACCGCTGAATAATCTGTGTGAGCTGCCGCACACTTTAGCCCTGTTACACGCGTCTGGGAGCTTCTGTTGACAGGTACTAGTAGTCTACAGATTGGGGTATATGCTCAGCTATCTGTATAATACAGATCTGTGTGTATATAATATCCCGGTATAGTCAGTGCTTCCTGTATAGTGCTGCTCTCTCTATAATACAGGCCTGTGCCTGTATAATATCCCGGGACAGTCAGTGCTCCCTGTATAGTGCTGCTCTCTGTCTTGGGATATTATACACAAACAGACCTGTATTATACAGAGAGCAGCACTATACAGGGAGCACTGAGTGTCCCAATTTATTATACACACAGCCCTGTATTATACAGAGAGCACTGACTGTCCAGGGATATTATACCCAGACAGTAATTGATAGCTGTGCTGCAAAATGTCCTTGAAAATGTTTTTTCAAATGTTGGCAACTATGGCACTGTATCAAGGATAATGTGTTTGTTTTTTTAATAATCCCTGGTGGAAAATAATGAATCCTCCACCAGGTATTATTAAAAAAACAAAACACATTGTGTCGGGGGCGTGGCTTAACATGTGACAGGGGCGGGGTCAAACTGTGAAGAGGGCGGGGTTAAATGTGCCCCCCTACTTTTGTCACTGGCCCTCCGTGTGCCCCCCCGAAAAATGAATCCTAGAGACGCCACTGCCTTCTCTACATTAGTTATGCCACTGTATTGGGGTGGTGGGCATGACTGCATGCCAGGGGGTGGAAATGTGTGGAGGGGAAGGGCAGGATCCAGGGGGCCCAAGCAAATGCTTGCCCAGGGTCCAATTAATGTTAAAGACAGCCCTGTGTACACAGGGGTTATACACTTTGAGACCATTTGGTTTCAGGTTATCACCTCCCCCTCTTCTCATATCGTGTTAGGGTACCCATGGTTATGTTCTCACAATCCCATTTTCGACTGGGAATTGGGACAATTAAAATCATGGGGTAAAACCTGCCACGACTCTTGTATGATTAAAGTCACCCCTTTAAATACCATTAATGTTCCTACTACTCCTCCTTTGTCTACTGTTATACCTCCTCAGTACTTGTTTCTCAAAACTGTATTCGATAAAAGGGAAGCTGATAAATTACCGCCTCACAGATCCTATGATTGTGCTATCGATTTATTTACAAACACTGCTCACAAATACAGCCCTGCAAGAATGACCAAATGGTAGATCCCCAACTGAGTATGTGTGTGCATGTACGGTGTAGTATTGGTGTTAGAGTGAAGGGGTGTGTTTCTATATACTTTTTGAGTTTGAATTCTGGGGCGTGTTTGTATGTAATGTTTGTGTTTGCAGGGGTGTGTTTGCATGTTGTGTTTGATTGCTTGGATGTATGACATACATTCACAGATATCCATACACATTAGCACACTGATACATGCACACATCTGGACACATGCACAGACTGGCGTATACACACACAGACACATACATACATACACACACACACAGATACAGAGATAAAAACACTGGCACATCCACACACAGAGATACACACTTACACACACTGACACAGATATATACACACATTAAGATGCACACAGACACACGGGTACACATGCAGGGGTGTATTTGCCTGGCACTATACCTCCAAAGGGCAGGGTGTACCCTTTATCTATTCAAGAAAACCGTATCATGGAGGAGTATGTTAAAGAATCGCTAGAAAAGGGGTTTATTAGGAGATCCTCTTCTCCGGCTGGAGCAGGGTTTTTCTTCGTATCTAAGAAAGAGGGTGACTTAAGACCGTGCATCGATTATAGAGGTCTAAACCAAATCACTATGAAAAATGCATACCCTATACCTTTAATTAAGGTCACGAATGGAAGACTGCATTCAACACTAGATCCGGTCATTACGAGTATACTGTTATGCCATTTCGTCTTTGCAATGCCCCAGCAGTATTTCAGGAATTTATTAATGACGTCCTAAGAGACTTTATTCACACATTTGTAATTGTATACTTGGACGACATACTGATATATTCTACGGATTTACACACTCATCACAGACATGTCACAACGGTCCTGAAGACCCTTCTTACTAATGGTCTTTATTGCAAACTAGAAAAATGTTTATTTGACCAGTCTGAAGTCCAGTTATTGGGGTATTTGATTTCCGCTAAAGGGTTTCGTATGGATCCCCAGAAGCTTTCTGCTGTCATAGAGTGGCCCCTACCACAGGGTTTGAAAGCAATTCAGCGTTTTCTTGGTTTCTCTAATTATTATAGACGCTTTATTAAGGGTTTTTCTTCTATTGTAGCACCTATCACCCGTATGACAAAAAAGGGTGGTAATACTCGTGTCTGGTCTCCCGAGGCACTTCAGGCTTTCGACTTTCTTAAAACTACATTCGCCTCTGCACCTATTTTACAGCACCCTATCCCCTCACTGCCTTATATTCTTGAAGTTGATGCTTCTGAGATCGGGGTAGGTGCTGTTTTGTCCCAAAGATAATCGCCTGAAAAGCCATTGCATCCTTGTGGCTTCTTTTCTAGACAAATGTCCAAAGCTGAAAGGAATTATGATGTGGGTAATCGTGAACTCCTTGCTATTGTCTTAGCTCTTAAAGAATGGAGACAGTTGTTAGAAGGAACTAAGGATCCTATCCTCATTTTTACGGATCACAAGAATCTATCCTACCTTGGGGAGGCTAAAAGATTATCTTCTAGGCAGGCTAAATGGTCACTATTTTTGTCCCGTTTCAATTTTATTATCACCTATAGGCCAGGTGATCACAACATTAAAGCAGACGCTTTGCCCAGACAGTTCGAAACTTCTGACAAACAGGAGGTTGATGTTACTCCTGTCATTCCCCCAGACAGAATAATAGCTACTACTATGTTGTCTATTTCTTCATCCCTCTTGCAGACCATACAGGCGAAACAAAGTATGGCACCTAGCGAGAGGCCTATTGATAAATTGTTTGTTGATGTTCCCGAGAGACGGGAGATTCTGTCATTATATCACGATACTAAGACTGCTGGACATCCTGGTATTACCAAAACGATGTCAGCAGTTTCTCGATATTTTTGGTGGGGTTCCTTACGCAAGGATGTCACTGACTATATAAGTGCTTGTACTACTTGTGCATGTATGAAAACATCTCGTAGAGTTCCTTGTTGGCTTCTACATCCCTTACCCGTTCCTGAGAGACCTTGGTCTAACCTATCAATGGATTTTATTGTTGAATTACCCCCTTCGAATGGTAACACAGTCATCCTGATGATAGTAGATCGGTTTTCCAAGACGGCTCACTTTGTGTCTCTTCGCAAGTTGCCCACATCCAAGGAACTGGCTCTTATCTTCGCTAGAGAAGTATTTCGGTTACATGGTATTCCTGTATCTATTGTGTCCGATAGGGGTAGCCAATTTATTTCCAGGTTCTGGAAAGCTTTTGCTCAGAAATGGGTATTTCTCTCTCATTTTCTTCCGCTTACCATCCCCAGTCTAATGGAGCTGCTGAACGTGCCAACCAGTCTCTGGAGCAGTACCTTCGTTGTTTTGTGTCTCACCATCAGGACAATTGGTCTGACCTACTTCCTTGGGCTGAGTTTGCTCGGAATAACGCCACTCATGATTCTTCCGGCAAAAGCCCTTTTTACGTTGTCTATGGCCAGCATCCCGTTGTTCTTCCAGCTGCATTCTCCTCACAGGGCATGCCAGTTCTGGATGAGCATTTGGCTGGTTTACGTAATACTTGGGAGCAGGTTCAGCGTTCTTTGGTGGATTCCGCTGCTCGCCAGAAGGCTCAGGCTGACAAGCATCGCAGAGCGGCTCCTTCTTATATTGTGGGGGACAGGGTTTTGCTTTCCACGCGGAATATTCGCCTGCGGGTGCCTTCTATGAAATTGGCTCCCCGCTTCATAGGTCCTTATCGTATTCTGCATAAGGTTAATCCTGTTTCTTATGCCTTGGGTCTTCCTAGGAATCTGCGTATTCCTAATGTCTTTCACACCTCGTTGTTGAAGCCTTACGTACGCAAGCGCTATACCCGACATTCTCCGCCTCCCCCTTCTGTCTCCATGGAGGGTCATGAGGAATTCGAAGTCTCTGCTGTTCTTGACTCTCATTACCTTAGAGGTCAACTTCAGTACTTGGAGCATTGGAAGGGTTATGGGCCTGAGGAGCGCAGTTGGATTTCAGCTGATGCTGTTCACGCTCCCCGCCTTGTGCGTTCTTACCATTCTCGTTTTCCTGCCAGGCCTGGTCCTACCCGCCCGGAGGGTGTGTCCTCCGGGGGGGGTACTGTAGTGTTACTTACCTTAGCCAGGGGCCGGACGCGGTCCTCTCATCGAGCCGCGCGCGGTCCTGCTGCTGCACGAGCCGCGCGCGGCTCATCCAACGGCTTCAATAG